TAAAGCAACTTAAATATCTTAGATTAGCTTAGAACCTCAGTGTTACATGAATTCTTTTACAAAGCAGCACCTGAATTACTTTCATTTGTTTTCCCACTGGTACTTAATCTCCATAACACAGTAAAATCAATACCTTACAATAAAATTTGTTATATCTGTAAACAAAATTTGTTTATTTAACACTCACTTTCAGCAGAAAGTCTTCTTTCATTAAAAAAAAAATATTAAACATGATAAACAGAGACCTATTGTGTTTTCCTATAAAACATAATTCAGCAGTAAAGTCATTTGATAAGATTAATAAAAACATTGAGCAAAAAATCATGTAGCGCAGCTCCTTCAACAGCCCCACTGCGTTATGATTTCTCCTTTTCTAAATTAATGCTCACAGTAGTCACATCCAGCAGTTTTAAAGGAGGCAACAATACACTTGTTGCGTGTGTGTCGATCTAAGCTATAGCCCAAATCCAGAGTCTGTGACTCTGAAGGGTGGTTTTGATTTTAAAGTCCAAGGGATAAGCTGACAAGCTTTGCTGGGTTTAATCTTTTATACTCAAGTTTATTTTGTGTTACATTTTGTTTTGACTTTTATCCCTTTGTAATGCCTTTGAATCCCCATTAGAAAGGAGTCCATCTAGTGTTTCCAATAACAGTTCCCCTCTCTACTGCTCTGGCTCAGAGTATTTCCATAGTCAGGACCCTCAACACTTCACCCAGGGAATCTGCCAATGCCCAGTTATGCAGAACAAAAAGCATTTGCTCTCCAAGGAGCTTAGTGCTAATCTGCCAGCAAAGAACCTGGCACCTTTTGCTTCTACATCCTCACACAAGTCATACAAAGAAGTACAGGATATAAGATGCAACTTATTAGAAACTGTGTATAACACATTGTTTCAGTTGATACTACAAGTTCTAAAACATTCTGCTTTTATCATGCTTACCTCATGGCAGCGTTGCTCGACTAAAAAACCTTTTGCAAGCTGACACTAAGGGAATGTACTATCAAAACTTCTCCAGTGTGTTCCAGTCAATCACAGAAATACAGTGATTTCTCAGAAGGCCGTTGAAGCTGAAGCAGCTGTAAAAATAAATTCTGAAGCACTTGGCCGTGTGTGAGAAAAAAGACAATGATTTATAAATAAGCAAATAACTGAATAAATAAATGAAGAGAGTAAAAGATCAACGGAACGTGTCCAAACAGCCATAAGAATTACAAGTTTCGGAAGACAAAAGTGAAAAGTAAACCCGTCTCTCCATGACTCTTTAAATTATTTTTGATGCCTTTGCAAGTTAAATTTATTTTCAAAAAGAAACACTGCCCAAGCAATTTTCTTCAAAATGATAACAATCAAGCAATGGAAGTCAAGGGCTATAAAGGAAGGGTTTATAAATCTCGATTTTCCTGTAATTTAATTTTTAACTGGCACAATTTGAGTACTAGTCTGTGTAGATGTCTGTCATTCTTTCTGTTGAGATTGTTATTAAGACCCTCGGGAAAGAAGCACCTGAAGCTTGAAAAATGTATTTAACCCTGCACACTAGTGATAAGACTGACCGATGCTTCTTGCTTTTCACTGCTCTTTAAGACAAGACAGTCTTTTTTACAGCAGTATATTGGGATGGCAATTCACCCAAATAAAAAACAGGGAACCAGTCAGAACACTCTAAAAGAAATGTTAAAGTTAAGACTATTAAGGTAAAATAAAGTTGATGTTATTTTTAAGTTTCTTGGCATGTAGAATTATTTTTTTCCTCCTACAGGGAGTGAAAGGTTGGATTAAAATATTTTTTATACTTATACTATTTCAGAAGCTATTTAACAAATTAAAAAATAACTAGGAGAACAAAAATTAATTAGCAGATAATGGTGAAATTTAGAGATCAGGAAATCAGAACTCTAAATCCTGTACAGTATGTGACCTCTATACCTCTATTCCAAGCTGTAAAAAACTCAAATATAGTAATTTTCTCCCACAAAAGGTCAACACTAAACAAACACCACAAACTCTGCTGAAATTATTAATGCAAACACCCTTACATTCAATCAACTGAAAACACATGGTTCTTAGACTGGAAAAGAAACGAGACAGGTGTGTCTCTTTCTGTAGTTTGTTATTTAGTTTTGTCTAAGTTATGTGAACAATATTTTATACGGATATTCAGGCACTGCTTGCCTTAAACCAGTCTGGGGCCCTTTGAACTAAAAAACACAAATCATGGACATTCTTTATAAAATTTAATATAATCCGTTTTACTACAGATGTGTCTGAGTATCCCCTATGGGAAGGTGGTCAGCTTTAAATGGGATACTGGAGTAATAAGGAAAACCTCAAATGAATGCACCAAATTGATCTCTATAGAAGCATGACACCTATAATGCCTATCTACAATATTAAAAACACCAATTTCTGTTATGTACATTTTTGATTACTTGCTGCTTGAATTAATATTTGAATATCATAAACCAGGAGCTGAAAATGCACTGTAGCTGCCAGCTTGGAAAAAGTATGGGTTTTTAAAAAAAAAACAGTAAGAAGAAATAACAGAAAAATACCCTGTTCTTAATTCCACTGCTTCTAAAAAGGTTTTCAGTTTTGACCTTCACACCAAGCTTAATGCACTCTTCACTTATTTACGCTACCTTATCTGATTTCAGTACATTGACCCTTCTTAACAGCTTCCTTGACCATCCCCATCACATGCATTCAAATCCCGCTCGCTCACTCTTTGAAAAGATGGATTGAGCTATAGCTACAACTGGACTGGGCAGGAGGGAAGGGAGAAAATGCTTTGATGCTCATGAACAGAGGCTTTAGGGTGGTGTTTTTTTCATAGCCCATTGCTCTGATTCCTAGCTAACTTGTTAATCCTTACATATCATCCAGGAGTAAATTCATTTAAACACACAACCCCATACATACAAATGCACAGTAAAATACTCAAGTTAAAAGTAGGAATGCCTTTGTGAACATTTTCAAGCCTTGAAGCAGATTCAGATACTGAGATATTTCAGCCAGCCTTATCAAAATATAGGCCATTCCTGAACTAATTATCTCATGGCTATTTATGAACAGTATGTATTTGTTTGATTTAATCTGTTTGCCTATCATACTTTAGAAGTCAGCAATTCACTATTTGCATCCTGGATCATACAGGATATGTTAGATATCAGATGTCAGATAACTGGAGTCATATATTTGACTGTACCTGCTAGCACTCAGTAACAGTGCCATGGAAGATGGATTCAAATTTCACTGGGAACATTAAAGAAACACAACAAAACAGACACCAAAGACAAGGCATGAATACATGCTACCTCCTCATTCACTCAGGAATACTCTCCAGAAAAAGACACTGCATGCTTCAAAATGCAGAAGAACATTGTGGTGCCTAAATAACGTTCAACAACAGTTAATTTGGATATTCTAGACTTATAGAACTCAGTTTTTATTGATTGAGCATAAATATTTAAACTAATTTAACAATTTAACAAGGTCCTACCTTATTATGTTTTCTTATCTTAAAACAATTAACACATCACATTAAACAATAACAGTAGCTTTTAATTTTCCATACAAAATCCAAGACCACAAGATCCTATCCTTTCCCACATGAAAAGTGGCATTAATTGATGTAGAACAAGAAACAACTGATAACACTTAACCATTCAAGAAGATATATTTAGATTTCTCCACAACACATTCGATAAGGTAAAAAAATTGCTACTTCTTAAATTAAAAGCTACAGGATTCCAAGATAAAGCATGCACAGGAGTCAAGAACTTGTTAATGAAAACGGGGTCATCTTAAAGGGCATAGCCCCTAACTGGGCTGGTGTAAGCAGAGGTGTACCACAGGAAGAAACTTTAGAACCACTGTTCTTGATCTATATCAATGATTTAGATTCTGGCATAGTTATCAAACTATTTACATTAGCAGGTAAAAATAGAGGAGTAACAAACAGCATCAAGGGACTAACAACAAAAAGAAGCAAAATGCAAGATGAGATCTGGGTGTTAATATAGATTTGTCAGTGGGGTCATCAAGACAACGTAGGGAAACAATAATCAAGGAACATTTGGTTATAGCGAAAATAACCAAAGGAAATTTACACTTAAGCTTTACAAAGCATTAGTAAGACATAGACTATACATAGGTCTCTAAACTATTAAGCTAAGTTTTGGTCACCATACTATAAAGTCTGTAATGTAACAGACTTATGAAGAGTTCAAAGAAGAATAAAAATAAATATTACTGGTATTATCAGTATTTAGTATCAGTATTTAAATAAGACTCTGGGTATTATCATATACACCTGTACAGTGAAAAATAAATAAAAAAGTAAAACATAAAAATGAATAAAACATTTAAAAAGTCTGTATCACTATATGAAATACCCCTGAAATCATTCTGGAAATAAATGGCTGTAAAACTGATCACTGATATATTTCAACAACATCAGCTTCACCTTTAATAGATATGTGTAATATCTAAATTTCATGTTTTTGGATGACGTGTTGCCTTCCATATAATGAAGTATAGCACACTGTATCTTTTGTTACTGTAAACAATTGGGACCTACAATACATATTATAAACCTCAAAACATAAAACGTATGTGATAATCTCTTCAATAGTTACCAGATATATTCCAGGCTTTTCATCTATATTTTCCTGGTTATCCTGTCAAACTCAAATATTCTAACAAACCAGGGAGATTAAGAAGTGAGTAGAATAGAGCCAAGCATTAAAATGGGATTGTAGCTCAGAGATTTCTCCAATGAAATGTGATCAAATTCAGTTACCATGGAGACACTGTTTAAAAAATCAACTTACCACAGATCTTAAGCCATTTTCCTTTAGCAGCATCAAGGAGTTTTCATAGCAATTTGCTAGAAGTTCCCTCTGAGTCTTTCCAACATGGCCTCGTGCTACAGGCCCCACTGTGTGTATCACATCTGTTTGGGACAGTCAACAAACAACAGTTAATATGCAGCAGATAGTATACTCTCTAGTCATAATTCATTCAAAACAATTTATCAATTACAACCCATCCATGCGTGGTAAAGATAATAACACAGAATAAATCAAGCCAGCAGTTGTAAACATCTTACAGACTTCTTTTTATTTCCTGTACTTTTAGCATGTCTCACAATTTAAACACTTTTTTTTACTATGAGGTATTAAATTAATCTTTCATGGCAGAAGCCTCCTTCAAAATATGTGGCAAGTGAATCACATTTTCATGTTTTTGAGTTCCTGCAGATAAAAGAGAATTGCCATTTGTCTTTTAGATATAAGAGAGATTTACTTCTTCTCTTTAGTTATTCAGTAAAGTACACTGTGAGAATATATGACCATGCTTTCTGTAAACCTTTGCAGAACAAGCACTGAATATTGAATAATATTAACATGAAAAACCTGCATTTTAAAATTGACTACAGTTCTATTATTCTAAGACATATTTGTACATACAAGTTTAACTTCCTAAAACAACTTTCCACATTAGGATAGTTTCGTAGACACGTCATGAAACAATGAAACACCATATTATTACAAGGCCACACATGCATATTTGCCTTGGGAAAGGACAAATTGAAAAGGAAAAGCATGCTTTTTAGGGTGGGGATGGGCATTAACATGAAATGCAAACAAGATTTAAGTTTGTCATCACAGTGGGGAAAATAGGGACATTTTTAATAATCTTTTCCCAGAATGAATACATTCATTCTGCTAATGAAATGGCAGTCCAGATAGAAAATCAATTACATGATTCTTTTATCCTATCTATTCAAGTATTCATATCTCTCGTTCTTCTCTCTCCCATACGGCATAGTAATGTGCTTCCCTGTCAATCACAATTCGCTTCTTATGAATTGTACAGAGCCGAGAATTCAGCTCTCATTAATTGAATCATAACAGTGATAACAATAAAGTAAGAGAATTTAAGAACCAGCTTACCAGTTCACCAAAAATAATGTGATTATTCTGCAATTGCTAAACTGTGTTTAGGGTTATACCATACCTTGACATTGCGCTAAACTAAATGATAACCCCTATCGTTAACTTCTGTCCCATACAGTATGCTCACAGATCTTTTTCAACTGTTTGAACCATACAGTCCAAACTCCATAAAGTCCAAAAGTCCTGTTTCTACAAATACTCCATCTACAGGTTTCTCTGAGGTTTGTCTGCATTCGCATATATTTTAGATCAAAAACAGTTTTAGACCTTCATTAAAGTCTTAATAAAAGATTAAAATGATCTGATTCAACATATCACACTGACATAAGATATACTTGGATTATTTAACCCTTTTAACAAAATTGTCCACTAATAAATATCCTTGCATGAATAAGTACGCGAATTCAGTAACTGGTGGCAACTCCGTGAGCAGCAATGATTTCAACTACTGTGGATGTTTCTTGTAACTGTTCATCAGTCTCTCGTATCAGCTTTTAGGAATTGCCAACAAAACTGCACCAAGTTCACAATATTTGAGGGTTTCCTCCTCAAATGGAAAAAAAAAACCCTTGCTTTGGTTCTGCCACAGCATTTTAATGGGATTTAGGTTAGGAAATTGACTTGGCAAATACAAAAATCACAATTTCTCCTTCCTCAGCCATTCTGTTGTAGATCTGCTTGTATGTTTAGGATCATGTCTTGCTGCAGCACTTTCATCTCAGCTTCAGCTGACAAGTGGACGACCTGACATTCTCCTCCAGAATTTCCAAATTCATGGTTCATTGTTCCATCACATTTTCAAGTTTTCTGAGTGCCTACAGACAAAAGCAACCTGTCTTTTCTTAGATATATGAGAGCTTTGCTTCTTTTCTTTAGTTATTCTGTACTGTGAGAATGTGTGGCCATGATTTCTGTAAAGCCTTGCGAAAAGGAGCTTTGAATATTAAATGTGTGTCAGATTGAAACACACACTATGGAATTTACCACACTGTTTTATTATTCTCTGACTTTTCTTTTGCACTCAGAAGTGTAACTTTCTCGAACAACCATGTTAGGATAGTTTCTTAGACATCATATAACGATCAAACACCTCCTAATTACCAATAGTGCTTTTTCTTTCATGGGGTTGCCACCAGAATTCCAGTTCTGTATCTAGCTAATGCCCAACAGAATCAGTTGACATATGCAGTACAATTCACAGTACAAAAACATTTACTAAAACCTAATCTCAAACCAAAATGCTGAAATATCACATAACATTGATGAAAGACTTTTTAGAGTCAGCTACTCCAATACACAACATACTGTACCAGTATCGCAATGAAAAGAATGACTAACACTTACTGTTTTTAAATCAACTTTTCTTTTTAAAAATGAACTACTGAAATGGATTATATATTGTCAAAAATTAAACTTATGTTCATTTTTTTCAGCTGTTTTTGTGCTGGTTTTGGTCTTATTTACTTCAGCTTCCCCAGTACAAAGCTTTTAAAAGTGAGTTTAATTGAATTAAAAATAACAATACATGGGGTTTTCTCGGGGAAAAAAAGCAATTTTGTGCAAACATTTTATATAAAAGGCTGCCATTTAGAACTGTTAAATCATGATTAAGTGTCCATTGTTTGCTTTCTATAAATAATGTTATAAATATTTAATAACTATTATGATTCATTAAGTAGGTTTCTTAAAATCTATAAATCACACTTTATATAGTATAAAATACTGATAAGAGATGATTCATTTATTAGAAGTTTCAAACAGCAAATAACCATTTCAGCATTTTAAATTATTTAATACAAATAAAGAAGAAACAGTAGCTTATATGCTTAAAAAGGAGGTGGAGAATGGGAACAAGACAAATGACTAACACTACTCAGAATCCAGTCAATCCACAAACATTTTTCAAAGCCAGTTGTGTGGATCCTGTCTAATGAAACCTTTGTGTTGTCATCTGAAATAAATCCTAGTTAAGCAGGTTTATATTTTCAGAAGAGGAAACTAAGGTTAATTAGGCAATTCAAATACATTAAAGTGAACAAGCAAATAATTTCAAAATTATTTTTTTTTAAATCATTCTATAAACAACTGATGCAAACATTGAACATTATCTCTTCCTGTAATTAGGATCTAGGCCACACATTTCTTCTAGAAATTCTACCTGCTATACTTAATCATCGATAAACGTCATTATACTTTACTAGCAAATTATTAAAATCAAGGTCTTTATGTGAGATCTAGTCATCCAAATCTGTCAGACTACAATATTGTAAAGGACTAAACAAGTACTTTCTTTTCTAATTAGATGAATACAAGTTTGCTTTTATGATCACCAACAAGAAACAAGTAGCTTTATTTTAAAAATTATGCAAGTTGTATAATTAAGTGTACTGGAGTGTGTATACAGTATCAGTTTTAATGGTCTGAAGTGAGACAATAATTGTGTGTTTTCCGTTGACTTGTTCGCCATGTATTATTCAGCATTTACAACCGAGCAATGTTGCGTTGTATTAGTTTAAAGCAGTACGTGTGTGTGAAATCCAATTAAAAGAAATCAGGCATACCAAGAGTGGGCCAATTTTAAATGGAAAAAAGTTATCACTGTGTTTATCTCAGCAGTACCCAAGTCTTTTTTTTTTTAACTTTAATGTGAAGAACCTATAAACTTACTTGGAATTTTGAAAGGTGAGACACATACTGTATTTTAAAATGGGCTTTCCAGGTGCAGAGCATAATAATGAATGTTAACAAAGTAATACAGTCAATACCAAACCATATACTGTAACTTGTTATATTAACATATCTGTGCTATAACCTCTCCGACTATTCCATTTAATGTGGGAATCCAGTGTGGAACAAACTACAGAAGCTATGACAAATATTCAGTATTCAGAATGAAACTTATTGTAAGATATTTGTACAAAACCATTTAGCAACACTGTGAGTCGCAAAAAAAAAAGTCCTCTCTGTGTAGCCTACTGAGAATCAAATGACTCTTTGCTCTCATACAAGAAGGAGAGGCATATGAATGTATCCATTCAGACATATCATGTTTAATACATACTGGATATCCCTTATGACAGGAACCTATTGCCTTGTTGCAAATGAGTGTAATTTTATGCATGTATACATTCTGTATAATTGCCTCACAAAATTATAAAATATCTAGGATTCTGATACTGTAGATTAGCATGACTACCCCATAGTGGAGCTTACCCACTTTGTCACATCTGCACCAATTAGGCAAAATCCATTTGATTCACAGCAGAGTGTCTGGCTTATGTAGTTGTTTCCATATCAGTTGCTGGATTCAATTTTGATTTTACACCCTATTGCTGCTGCACAAACACTGAAGTTGCTGCTCATAACAAGATGGAGGTTAGCTTGAGTATTTCCCTTTTCATTTAGGTGTGGACTCTCCTTTGGATGCATGCCACAGAATCAACAACCATTTTAGGCCTCAACATACTAAAAGATAAAAATACATTAAGCATATGTAATTATACATTGTGTGGATTTTACTTCAAAATTCACAGAAATTATTTTACTTTTCTTGTAAAAAAAAAAGAAACATCCTCTTAAAAGCCTGCAAGATCAAAACACAAAAAGAATAATCCTTTGAATTCCAAACAGCTGTTTTGGGCCTTTCGATTAAGCTCTGAGGAGTCGCATTTTCTAAGCTTCATTTATTTCTAATTAATACAACACAACATTTTATACAAGGCAAGTTCGTCTTTCAAGAGTAAAGGCTTACAAATGGATGTAATAAGCAAGGTAGAAAATGAAGCAAGAGAAACATTAACAATAGTATTATTCATGGACTATGGCAAACGGTTTCACTAGTAAATGGATCTCACATGCACAACATGGTAATATTAAAAATAGATATTAAAAAAAGTGTGGGAGAATCGAAATAAAGATGAAATTGTTCATATTGTTTTTTTAGAAAAACACTTCAGTTCAAGTAGTGAGTCAAGGAGTAACTTGCTAATTCCAA